GATATTAGTAGTGCTATCGTGCGGTTCAAATGATAGAATCCCTAAGAATGCACTTCTCGCTTAGCCCAATGACCAAACACTGCAATCCTCAATACGTTTTATCATCATAACCATTATCTTCCCAGCTCTCTAGTCTATATTCTGCCTGTGAGGGAAAATACATGAAACATACAGACATTCCATCTAAGGTGCACTAGTCCTCATTTTTAACCTTTTGGGGAAAAGTCATTTCTAAACTTTGTATCCAGAACTCAGCCTTACAGAGGTCTCCACATTTCTCTTGGAAATGTGAATGTTTCATTGTGAAAAGAAACTGATTTACTATCCAATGGCTAAAACTCACGGCTGATCTTCCATGGATGGTAGTTTTCCCGCCTCATATTCTAAACACGCTTTCGCTGTGTTGTTTCCAAGGGCCCTTTCTTGGTGGGTTCAGTGAATTACCACACTCACAGCACCTAGACCAAGGGTTCTGCCACATGGACCGTGCATGGACCTCCGGGAAAAACAGAGGCCCCTGCGAGGGGCCCTGGGGCGTCGGCACTGTCTCCACAGTCATGCCAACCCTCGTGTGCCTTTGTCACCGTGTTGGCATTTACACTGGCGGTGCCGCAGCCGGGCTGGGTCAAACTGTGGATGCCTCAGCACAAATCCAAGCAGTGGCTCCACAGGATGTGAGCGGTGGTTGCAGTCTTGGCTGCCAGATACCCACCGTGAAAGGAAAATGCCAGTTTCCCTTAAAAAGCAAAGGAAGTTTTTTGAGAAAACAGCAACATTATCAATTTTCTTAAATACAGACTTGGGTTTTGATGCCTTTTCGATATTCTGTGTGACAAAGAGCAAGATGTGCACAAAAAACCCCCCTTCTCTGCACTTAAGCTTAGCAGCTATCGCAAAGAAACGAATGTGTGGGATGAAACTAGCCACTTGATTTGGGGGCTTTATTTGTGGAATATCATTTTTACTTGAAGGAACAACTGACGGAAGCTGGTTTCATTTATATTTGAGCAACAAATCTTTGCTGTCGGTGGCAATGAACAAAAGAAGCCTGACACTTCAAGGAAAACAATGAACAATATATGCAACTAATGATGAAATTTAAGCCCCAATAACAATTCAAATCTGGTAAACTTCTTCTTATCACCATGGTTAAAAGTCAACACATTTAAAGACTTTTCTGATAAATTCCTTGTCAGTTATACCAATATTTTCCAAGTGATCAATGCCCAATATTTCTAAATAATGATTAGGTAAAAGGTTCATTAAGAATGTAAGAGTGACCAGCCTGGGCAACTTGGTGAGACCTCGTCTCTGTAAAAAAAAAAAAAAAAAAAGAATGCAAGAAGGATCAGTGCATTTTTGTGTAACAGAGTCTGAACCCTTCACTGATAGGATTTCCTGTTCCACACTGCAAGTAAGTTTTAAGACGCTGCCACCTGTGGCCTGCTGCCTTAGTATAAAAAAAAGGCAACACTTGTCTTAAAAATGCCAGATCAAAGTAAATTTCCATTAACAGACGAAGTGTAACCGTGTGAGGATGGATTCTTTTCATATGTTTTAAACAACAACAACAACAAAAATGCAATGGACTGAACAAGGAGTCCTGAGAATCCAGCTGCATTCTCTTAAGCCAGACATGAAAGAGATTTGTAAAAATTTAAAATAATATCAGTTTTCAATTTTTTAGTTTGAGAAAATGAAACATTCTAAATAAAACAAAATGTGACATGTTTAATACAGTTTTTAAATGAATTAATAATATGTTTAAATTTTCTCCATCTTAATGTTCAAAACGATAACTATCAATAGACAAGACACGCCTACACAAAACTCCTGCAAGCCCCTGACAATTTCTGAGAACATAAAGGGGCCCCAAGCCCAGAAACTTTGAGACCTGTGGCCCGGCGACAGCCCCAAAGTGAGTACATCGCTACCTTCCATTTAGACACTAAACTCCAGTCAGACCACCCACCCCAAATCTTCTCTTCTTTCTGAATATTCTGACAATGCTCAGTGCACTTGTAGAGCAGAGACAATCCTTATGTTCTGTTCTTCATTCAATTCGTGAGCGGGGTCAGATTGATCAACTCCCTTCACTGCCTTAGCTTTTCTCTGTTGACTTACTCCTGGAGCACAAAGACGCATGTTCTGGTCTTCTACCTCCTCACCGGGCACATATGTGCAGGGTGCCTACCACACTTCAGGGGACAGCATCGGCTCAGAGACCACAGAGGTCAACACCACAAAACCCCTGGCCACAAGGCAGTCCCACCAAGTTCCTAAGTGGCACATTTCTCTCTCCTCCAGGACAGCTGCTTGCTGAAGGGCACATGCCTATTTCTGAACCTAGAAAAATGGCACAATCATTCCGCAAGCTATTTTAACATGATTAAGATGGTAGGAACTCTTCTGAGCATATAAAGAGGCTAAATAAAAAGAGAATTAACCTGGTGTCTGCAAGCCAAGCACTAACCCCTGCCCCCCGTGACATTCCTATTCATGCCAATCTGTAGATGTCACGAGTGGGGTAAGAAAAGGGGTTCAGCCAGGCACCTCTCGGGAGGGAGCGATCCCAGAGCCCTGTCCTCATCCCTCTGCCCCAGGTGTCAGGGCGACAGGAAGCACGCAGAGGAAGTGGCTTCCTCCTTGCCCGCTGACCTGCTGCTTGTCTAGGGAATGGGATCAGTCATGCCTCTGCCAGAAACCTGAGTAAGCAACCCAGATGCTTATCAGTGTCCACGAATACAGCTTAAGAATACGCTGGACAAAGTCCAATTAAACAAGCAATGTAAAAACCACCTCTGACAACAAAGAGAAGTTGTCACTTTTTTTTTCAGAATCACAGCAAATTCATCATTTAAGCAGACAGGAAAAAAGTACTTGATTGTATATACTTGAAAGGTACAACCAATAATAGTATGAAATTCTAGCTCTCAACTACTGCTTTCAATATTCTTTGGAAAAAAACACATTTGCTTTTAATTTTAGAAGTGGTTGGATCATGGGAGCTCAAATTTGGTTTACAACTTCAGCTTAAGTTCAGAGAAGATACTCTGACAAACTGAAGATACTCTTTAATTTAAAAAAAATCAGATTGACTTCTCCCCATATTTTTAAATGAGTAGGTAAATAAATGATAATTATTCATATTGGTGCTACTAGATTTATTAAAAAGTAGTAGGCTTTTTAATAAATCTACATCATCCCCTACTAATAAAGAAATAATTTATGATTATTACTTTGTAATCCTCATGCCTGTTGCAAAGGCAGCACGATTTAATACATTCAGGCTAAGCCAATCTTTGCATATCTAATCAGCAAATAACAAGACACAATAAATCTTCTCACGATTACACTGAATATTTATTCTGCTTCTCCACAGTATTCTAATAAAATGCAGTGCACTGAACCAAACAGCAACACCTAATGAAACGATTTGCTTCATAGTTTAACAAAACACCTAAAGTCTGGAATGACTTAATTGTCTGTCTTCAATAAATAACTTAGTTTTCACATTAATCAAATCTCTTCAACTGAGAAAGAATTCCAGAGAAGAAAGGTAGAGACAAGGCGTGGTTTTAGAAGATAAGTAACTTCACAATCCAAATAAATTACATATAAATCATGGCCTGAGCTCCACCAAATAGCTCCACATAGAAGGCTAACATTGAAATATATTTTTAAAATAATTAGGTAAAAGAGGAGATTGGGTCTAGAAATGCTTTCAGGGCCACATATGTAAGACAAAATTGAATTCCACCTAGAATTATCTCTCTGTTAAGAATCATCTCCAATATATCTCCTAAAACCTCTATGCCATGAAAATGCTGTTCCATCTACAGAACAGACACAGCCAGCTATTAAGGGTGGAAAAATCACAGGGAACACTAAAAGATAATAATAATAGACGAGCACTTTAAAGGAAGAAAATCCCCCTAAAAAGAAAAGCAAGCAAGAAAACAAACACATGAGCCTCAATTTCACCAGCATGTTGTATCTGGGTCCCTGCCAAGTATCACAAACCACATTTGATATTTTGTGTTTTTGGCTGGGTGACACCAGAATGTCTCTGAGGGGAGTTTGGGGGTGGGATGAGCTCAGAAAACAGCTAAGAGCTGTTCCGGAGTGGAGCTGCATCATTTCAAGTTGAGGATCAAAACAACCTGAGCAGGAGTTCGATTAAAAAAACAAATCAGTGGTACACAGAGGTGGTAGGCTAATACAGCCCCCGGGAAGGGTGGGCTTGGAATTCTTCTGGCTGATGCTATGAAACTCTACTTTCTTCCCCATCAGCAGACCGAACATGTACCTGTCCGTGGCACTGAACAACGCAGCTTTGTCTCGAGAAACAGCCTCTAATCTCTGATCATTCACACCCCACTGCATGCTTTAGTTTAAGAAGGAAGAGGAAGGATTACCCCAAGTCAGAAGATAGTGCCTAAAACGAGAAGGCAGATGAAATCAGGAATCTCCCAAAACTTGGCTCAGCGCGTTAAAATTAGTCATCGTCTATAAAGAAACTGCCAAGACTGCTGAGGACGTGAAAGCTAATACCATCCTGGTGTAAACTCTCAGCCTGTGCCCGCTCACCACACCCCCTGAAAAGCTACGGTGTGATGCTGATTTCTACCAAAGCTCTTCATTCTGGAATAGGCATTCCTGAATTCTATTTCAGTGTCCATCCTTACGGAGAGGAGCTTAAGTTAGTGCAGTGAGCTAGCCTAGATAAATGGATATATATTTCTCTTTAGCCTTATACATTAGATGGCCATAAGGTAAACTATAAAGTGAAAAAAAAATGCTTCTTGCTTAGTTTGAACCAGGACTGAAGCTAAATTGCATGCAATTCTGTTCGTCTTTGTGACATAACATTTTATGTGTCCCCGTCTCTAAAACTAACAATAGACAATAACAGTGAACAATGATAGCAAGTGAACGTGGGGAGAACGCTCTTTCTGAAAAGCACACCAACAAGTAACAGATGACTACAAGATCATTACCTCTGCTCTCTGTGTTCTGGGGAAAGCAGCTGATTTTTCTAAGGCATAAACATCCACCAGGTAGAGACACGCTCCTTGCTCTCGGTCCAGAATGGCCGCTGTCTGAATGACACCGCTGTGTCTCCCGATGGTGAAGAGGCGGCCAACAGTCTTTTCTTCACAACGCACTGACACAATGTAATACTCGACCAGCGCCTCAGATCCTCTGGGGCTAGCTGCCTCGATTGATATCACGTTGGTGCCAATGGGCTCCCCTTCCTTCAAAATAGTTATGTATTTGGGTTGGGTAAACACAGGTCCATCCAGGCCCTGAAGAATGACGGTCAATTCGGTGGTGGACTTCCTCCTTTCCGGCCCCAGGTCTGTGGCTGAAACGATGAGGTTGTAAATCAGCTGAGAAGGCACCAGTGCTGAAGCCACCCTCAGGTCTCCACTGTAGCGGTCCACGACAAAGGTGGCCGTGTCCCCATTGACGATCGCATACTCCACCTCTCCATTGGCCCCTTCATCTGGGTCGGCGGCCATGATTGTCGTCAGGACAGAGCCGATCACAGCTGACGGGTCTGCGGCCAGAGCGTTCTGGGAAATAAACATCGGGACGTTGTCGTTGAGGTCCGTCACCAAGATGGTCACATTCTTCAGGGCGTGGCGTCTAGTTTCGATGGGCACCGCCTGATCGTTGGCTTTTACGGTTAGCTCGAAGAGATTAGCGAACTCCCGATCTATTTCAGCATTGGTATATATCGTCCCTCTGACGTCATCAATGGCAAAGTGGTGGCCTCTCGGCATCTGTTGGACGATGGCATAGGACAGCTGCCCGTTGATGTCTGCGTCCGGGTCACGTGCAGTCACTGAGAGGACAGACGTGCCAATGGGAACGTTCTCAGCGATAGACTTGAAGAGATCTCCGGGAGGAAAGCTGGGCGGGTTGTCGTTGAAGTCCCTCACGTGGATGACCACAGACATGGTGGACGAACGGGGGGGCCTCCCTTGGTCTTTGGCTGTTATGTTCAGTTTATACAAAGACTGGGTTTCAAAGTCCAGTTTTTTGGCAAGAAAGATGCTTCCGGTGTTTGGGCTGATGCTGAACGTCCCATGGTTGTTGGTCCCAGTGATCCCGTAGTGTAAGTCGGCGTTGTCACCCGAATCGGAGTCAGTCGCCGTGACAGAGGACACAAGCTCGCCAATCCTCATGTTCTCCAAAACATCCACAAACAGTGTCGACTTAGGGAAAGAGGGGGTGTTGTCATTTTCATCTAAAACCTCGATGCTTAAGGTGCAGGTTGAATTGAGGGGGACAGCCCCTGAATCCACCGCCTGGATTACGAGAAAATAGGCCGGTGTGGCTTCATAGTCCAGCGTGCCCACCAGGGCCACCTGGCCAGAGGTCCTGTCTATCACGAACTGCCTCTCCCCATTGCCTTTTATGATGGAGTAATGAATAAGTCCGTTGTTCCCTTCGTCCACATCGGAGGCGGACACTCTTAAGACCTGCGTCAGGTTGGCGGCCGACTCCGATACGGTCGCTTGGTAAAAGTCTTTCAAAAACTTGGGCGCGTTGTCATTGACGTCCTTTAGGTACACGTGCACGGTGGCCTGGTCCTTGAGAGGCTGAGGGAGCCCCTGGTCTGCAGCCACGACGGTGAAGCTGAATACGGCAGTCCCTCTCCGCCTCATGAGAGACTCCCTGTCAAACTGGCGAGTGCTGGTGATCTCCCCGGTGACAGCATGCAGCTCAAAGTCCGGCTGCACCACCTCAAAGGAATACCTCACTTCGCCGTTCGGCCCGAAGTCTTTGTCCACGGCGCTCACTTTGCCCACAAAGGAGCCGGCTCTCTGCTCCTCTTTGAAGTGAAACGCATAATTGGTGCTGTTGAAAAGAGGCCTGTTATCATTGACATCGTCCAAAATGACAGTGACATTCACAGTGGCGCTGAGGGGCTCCACGGCCCGGTCCGAAGCCACAACAAGCAAGACGTATCTGTCCTGAAGTTCACGGTCCAGTTCACTTTTTATGTACAACTGACCATCTGGAAAAATCCCGAAAGCATCCCCGGCATTGCCTTCAGCAATGGTGTAGGCAATTTCACCATTGGCCCCCGAGTCCTTATCAGAAGCTTGCACTTTAAAGAAGCGAGAATTCACAGGCTCCGCCTCAGACAGGGTGACCTCATAGGAAAGCTGGTCAAACACGGGCGGGTTGTCGTTGACGTCATGGACACACACCGTCAAGATGACGCTGGAGGACAGCTGTGGGACACCCAGGTCAGACGCCAGGATCTCGACCTGGTAGGAGCCGGCGTGGACATCCAGGGGCCCCAGCAGGCTGACAGTGCCGTTCTCGCCATGGATGGCAAACAGGCTCTTGGGGTTTTGCTTGAGGCTGTAGCGCACCTCGCCGTTGACGCCTTCGTCGGGGTCCACAGCTTTGGCTTGGAAAATGCTGTGACCCGCCTGCCAATTCTCCACCACATTCACACTCTCGACCGCCTGCAGGAAATGGGGGGAGTTGTCATTCAAGTCCTTCACCGTTATGTTCACCACAGTGTCCCCGGTCACCGAGCCCCCACTGGCCACCACTTTCAGCTGATAAAAGGCCTGCTCTTCTCTGTCAATCGCGCTGGCTGTGGTCAGCTGCCCGGTGGCCTGGTTGACAGCAAACATACCTTTCTGGTCCCCCGTGGTGATGAGGTAACTCATGTTGGAGTGGAGATCCATGGTGGACGCAGACACAGTCCCCACGTGGTAGCCCAGGGCCACGTTTTCAAAAACCACGAAGCTGTAGGCAGCCTGGCCGAACACCGGGGGGGTGTCCTGAGTGTCCAACACCGTGACGGTCACGATGGCCTGGGCGGGAGACTGCAAGCGGCCCCCGTCAGTGGCCACCACTTGCAACTGGTACGCAGTCTTTTCTTCTCTGTCGAGGGCCATTCTCGTAGAAATAACCCCACTCTGCGGGTGGACCTGAAACCGAGACCGGTCCCCGGCAGAGATGCTGTATCTGATGGTGCCGTTGGGACCGGAGTCTGGGTCGGTGGCAGACACTGTGGTGACGTAGCTGCCTGCAGGTTGGTTCTCCTGAATGTGAGCAAAGTACTGGACGGGGTAGAACACAGGGCTGTTGTCGTTGACATCCAGGACACTCACGTTGACACGGGCCACTGACGCCTGGGGAGGGGTGCCCAGGTCGGTGGCCACCACCAGCAGGGAGTGGAAGGCGTGCTCCTCTCGGTCCAAGGAGGAGAGGGCGCTCAGCCTCCCGGACACGGGGTCCAGGTGGAAGGCCGCGGGGCCGGGCTCCGCCTCCTGCAGGGAGAAGCGCACGGTCCCGTTGTCACCCAGGTCCCCGTCGGTGGCCGCCAGCACCAGCAGCTCCGTCCCCGCCGGGGCGTTCTCCACCACCGACACGTGGTAGCCCTCCGGCCGGCTGAAGGCCGGCTTCTCGTCGTTCACGTCCAGCAGCGTCACCACCAGCTGGGCGTAGGAGACCTTGGGGTGGACGCCCTGGTCGCGCGCGCTGATGTTCAGCACCACCTGGGCCGCCCGCTCGCGGTCCA